CTGGACACCAGAAACGTAGAGTGGGACTGTATCATCTCTTCTTTTATTCTTGAGGACCGAGGTAGGACTAAAGTTTTTTTTCTTTTTTCCCCCCCATCTAGTTTTGAATTCATTTTTAGTTATCATTGATGATGTTCATGCTACATTTCTCCTTCTACTCTGACACACTTTACGGGCAGCATCAGTACATGTCTCCCCATGATTTCTCAGGAACTCCAGCTGATGCCAGTGGGCTCTGGTCCATGGAGAAAATGAAAACTTATTTCAGTGTGATTAAACAGCTGCAGCCTCAGGTGTCCGAAGAAGCCAACTGCATCCTGACTCGTTATTACCAGCTGCAGCGTCAACAAGACGGCCACAGTGCCGCCCGCACAACTATCCGCATGCTGGAGAGTCTGAGCAGACTTGCTGAAGGTGAGAACAGACTGAAGTCCAAAACAATTTCACTTTACATTATGATGATCAAAAGTTCAAACTCAGAGGACTGTCAGTGAAATGGGAACAGCGGCTTTAATCTTTTACCTTTAGCTACTGAAATATGTGACATGATTAAAGATGCTTGCTGTGCCTCAGAAATGTAGTTGAACATAAAAGAAAGGGAAATCTGAAAAAAATCTTTAAAAATATGCATGTTTCCAGATGGCATCATAGTGCCAGTAAAAGGGAAAATGATTTGATAAACACCTGCTCCTTTCTTAAACTTTACACAGCACATGCCCGGCTCATGTACAGAGAGACTGTTACTATCGAAGATGCTGTTACGGCCGTGTCAGTCATGGAGTGCTCCATGCAGGTAAGGAGAAAACAGATTGACCCATTTTACTATACAAGTGATGATCCTTTGGATGTTAATGTCTTTAATGTTCTTATCTTTAGATACATTTTGGTTTGCTCCAAAATCCTTATCAGTATTTTCCGTTACATGGCTGTAGCATCTTCAGTTTATATATTTTGCTGTCCACATGAGGCTGCAGGAAAAACTAAAAAGCTACAGACACATTGGGTGCGCTGCGGACACTGTTATGCATCTCTTTGTTATATTGTTCATTTGTAGATGCTTTACTTATTCTCAATTACTTCATGTCATAATGAAAGTGAGTTGTAGATATCAGTGTGTGTATTTTTATTTATGTATTGGAGTTGGTTTTAGTTTTTGGACAGGTGTCTTTATACAGGTAACATGTGCAAACAAGTGACTTTAAGATGAGGAATCCAGGAGGGTTTAAAGAAAAACTAACAGGCCTGTGAGACCTGGAGTTCATATTGGTTCGTAGTTTATCAAATACTGATGTCATTCAATAAAATGCTAATTAATTACTTAAAAGTCATGTGATTTTATGGATTTTAGTTTCAGATTCCATCACTCACATTTGAAGAGTAGCTGATAAAAATGACAGACCTGCTTTGCAAGTGGAAAACCTGAAAAATTGGCACAGTATCAAATACTTGTTCTCCCTACTGTAGAATACACTGCAGAAAACAAAAAAGACTTTTGTGGTTTACTTAGTTGATTTGTTGATTGTTTTTGTTTATTTATAGTTATACAATATTATGATTAGAAAGTTTTCACAGAAAAATGGGATGGGGGTTGGATCTTATGACGTGGCTGAGTCTTGTTTTGACTCAAGAAATGAAAATTTGTTTGGCTGGTTGAGCCACATACATTCGAATTGATTTGACAATTTTAAACTCATTAAAACCTGAAAACTTTCTTCAACAAAGAAGAAAGTTGTTCACAATTATTTGGCTCATGCATCACTGATGTTTAGGGAATCAGTGAAGGTGAGATTATATTCACACGTCTAAAATCTAACTTTCAAGTAAGCTGAAAGGACTTGTCTTATTATAAAAGATGGCATGTTGCCTGCTAAGAAAGATCGGCCTGGTTCTGAGCAGTTACTAAATGGGTTTGTTCTGTTGATGTCATGAGTTCATGCCAGACAGAAACACCCAGGATTCAGTTTGCTCAAACTGTAAAGAGTTTGAGCTGCTTAATATTAGAAAATCTAGTGATGGTAATAAAGTTGATAAATATTATCATTTGCAGTTATGCCTTTATTTCCCTCTTCTCATCTGTTCTTCCATCACTGTGACCTTTAGCAGTTTGGCCAGGGTCATTTATGTCTGGTGTGAGCATTTCCTGCAGTAGCACTCTGGAATATATTAGCCAAAAACTACTGCACATTTGCGACATGGATATTGCAGACACCAATGTTGCGATCACTGTGCTCCCATGTTGTATAGTCTTGTTTTATTTTGCAGTCCTGTGGCAGTCATTAACCGTCTGGTGCATCCTTCCTTTAGGGTGGTGCTTTGCTGGGAAATGTAAACGCTTTGCTAACAACATTCCCCACCGACCCCCTTCAGCAGTATCAAACCCAGTGTCAGATGCTCTTGGAGGGACTGAACCTGCCTGAGATTCTTCAAAGTGAGATGGAGCGACTGGCCAGGTGAGCAACTCTAGAATCTCAACACTTATTTTATTCATGTGCACATTTTTAGTGCTTAAGATTTGTTGCTGACATGATGGTTTAGTTACACAAAAAAAGTTAAGAGTTAGGCACCCAATAGGAGCCTGGCTGAATGATGACAGGAGCTGCTATAGCCACCAACCAATCAGAGGATGAGGGAAGTGCAGGAACAAAACAAAATAGGAGTACACAACCGAGGGAGCTCAGCAAAGCATTATTATTAAATGTAGTACTTAATATTCTTTAATATGCAGGTAAATTAGCAAAGAATTTTTCATGTTAAAATATGGTATTACTAGCTATAAGTTTTAAATTACGTTTACGTTAGTTACATTAGTTTTTAGTGAATAGTAAATTGTGAAAGTTACCTTTTAAATTCTGGGTACTTAACTTTGTAAATTTATTTAAAAACAGCTGAACGTTCAAAGAACCTGTGATTATGCTAGATAAATCAGATATTATAGCTGTTCATGTTACCTTTAATACTGTATATTTTTAACTCTTCACTTATGCAGTGGACAGTGCAATTAGCAAACCCAGACTTGTATATCATAATAAAATGCATTTTTGTGGATGTTGTGTCTTTGCTAGGCTAAGGACCAACACCCCAGAGGCCAGTGTGTGTGACCTGTCTGTTTCTACAGACCAGCATCAGCTACATGTTTCAGACTCTGAAACCTCCAGTGACCTAAAGAGTTGTGTAACAGTGAAGAGTTGTTTGGACCAGCTTCCTGCCACGAGTCCTTCACTGTCCCCAGATGATGTCATCCTACCCATCATTACATCAACCCAAGGAAACATAAATACTGCACCAAACAATAGCTGGTCAGTATCATCAGCACTAAGAGCAGGGCAAAGCAGAGTTGACAAAAAAGAACAGAGACTCCTGCCTGAGAAGAAGAACAATAATGTTTTGCTAAGTGAAAAGATGGCGGGCGAAGATGCAAAATTGACAGACCTGCACACAAAACTGTCAGCTTTTATTTTCAAACCCAGAAATAGGAAACAACCTGACCACTGTGGTAATGAAGCAGAAACGTTAAGAGAAAAAGGGATAAATATGCAGACGTCAGCTAGTCACGATGACTTAACTAGCCAAATGCCACAAGCAAAGAAAAAGAAACAAATGGAAAAGCTAAATAATGGACATTCACAACACTGTACAGGCAAACCTACAGCAGCTCAGACTAATTTGGAAAGAGTTCCTCATGAAACAGAAACTTCTAAGTGTGAACTAAAGAAGTCGGATCTTATTCATGTTCCAAACCAACATGCAAAACCTGTAAGCAACAGTGAGGTGAACATGAGGAAAAGGAAGTGCTTTAATTTGAGCCCGCCACTAAATAATGATGGATCTAAGCCGTTCCTTTCAGGTTTTTCTTTCTCTGGTCTTACTGTCTTTTCTAGTGATGTCCTTGACACCGACTGGGACCAAGAAGTTTCAAAGACCACCAAAGACCGTCCGCATAAATAGTGTAGTGAGGAACTGAATTTATTTATTTGTCTTAAAAAACTTCTTGGTTCAAAAATTCTTAAAAGTGAAAAAGAGGAATTGTACATGTTTTGTTTTCTGTATTTCAAATTTTGAGCAGAGGCTGAATAATCACCTTCATAATGAGAAAGTGTCTGTAAAAAATAACGAAAAAGAAAAAAAAAAGTTTTTCTAGTGAACTTTCTTGGATTTCTGCTTTTGACCGATGAAATGTTGCTTAAGAAGGTTGCTCTAATCGAATATAAAAATGGGATAAAATGTGGTTTGGACAACCTGGTTTGATTTTAATTTAGACATTTTAATTTTTCATAACACCAACAAGGATGTGAAAGTCATGTCTGTACTGTGCCTTCTCGGCTTCATATCTGCTTCTTACTCCAGCTCAAGGAAGCAAAACCTTTTTATTGCATTAATGCAAAAATAAAGTCAACTGACATCAGCAGGTAAAACAAAGCATGAATGATCTTTAAATCCCAATTTTTGATTTTGTCCTTTTCACACTGAAGTGATATAAAGATGCCATCTGCAAAGGTGTCAGTCAGCTTTGCAGTGAAACAGAAAGTAGAAAAACATTGAAGAATAAATGGGTGATGGGATAATTAGGAGCATTATTTCTATGTTCAGTTTCTTTTTATAATTTTCACAATGGTTGAGCATCTTTAGTGAGTCTCTCTTTCAGTGGTTTATTTCCTATGATATTGAGCGGCTGTTCAGCTTTGAGACTATTAGGTACAACATCTCAACAATGTTAAAAATGACAGTGAAAATACATTACCAACATATTACACCAAGAAGTTCAATAATCATTTACACTTGTTGGTGTAAATGATTATGAAACAAAACACAGATAAGACATACATGTCAATACTACATGTGAATTGCTGGGCATTTTTCAGGTCTTAAATGGCCATCATCTGAAATAGGTCCAGCAGGCTGTAAACTTGACCAGCAGGCCAGTAGATGAAGCTAAAAACACTCTGACAACCTGACTCTGATTAACCTGATGAGATTAAAGTCTTAGACATAAATGCTCTGGTGTGTGTGTGTGTGTGTGTGCATGTGTGTACGTACTTGGATGCTAATGCACTTACTGTGGCCATCTGTGCAACCAGCACCCACCTGCACAATCTGACTTATCTTCTGCACTTCTTTGTAAACACTGCTAGTCGTCTTTACAGTACAGTTTGCAACTGGACTTTGAGAGGAAACCATAAAACGGATACAAGAGACTTTCTGTAAGACTGGAATCAAAAATCAATACTGGATAAAATCTTTTTCTTCATTTCAGAGAGCTTCCTTCCTTCTCCTGCGTAACACTTTTGCTTTTGAACATGGGTTGTTCACCATCAAAAGGAAAGTTATTTTCAAAACCACATCAGTTTGATGTTCAGAATGCCCTGGTCACTGAAGAATTACAGGAGGTTGCGGATGGTGGACCTGCACTGGATGAAGACACCTGTTTACAACCTCAAAACAAGGAAGAGGAACTGCCACTACTTACTGACGAATACTGCACAAAAGAAACTTCAGTGGCTCATCTGGACCCTGATCCAAAACTTCCTGAAAATGACATGGATTCTGAGGTAACAAAGGTAAAGGAAATGCCTCAGGAAATAATTGGAATTGTCATGGAAATGCCTATGAGTCAGAAGGTGGAGACCCGAAAGAAAAACATGAAGAAGAGATCTGCAGAAAGGCAGAGAAAGTCTTCTGTAGTGCAAACAAAGGCAGGTTTGTCACCACATATGGTGAGAGCTCACCAGGCTGCTTACAATTTCCTGAACCAAAATATCTCCAAATATGAAATTCTTCTGGGGCTTCTAGACCAGGCTACCCAGACACAGCTGTCCCTCCAAACACCAATGTCTGCTTTGGCGTTGTACTTTGAGGAAATCAACCAGGCACTAGAGGAGATGGCTGAAGAGGGGGAGCTGATGCTCAAGGAGCATGGGGACAGCATGACTTTACCTTCTGGGATGTTTGGTCAAGCTGTATGCTCGGCTAAACCTATGGATAATTTTGATCCATCACCAGATCTTTTACATCAACTACTTGCAGATTCATCAGAAAAAATCAGGCAAGTTAAAAGCTCAGTGAAGACTCGGAGCGATACTATACTTGAGGAGGGAATAGAGTATTTTTCTTCCCTCTCTAAACTGTATACTGAGAAGCTTCAGGCGAAGCAGGCTGCAGAGTTTAGGTTGGCTCAAGTACTTGCAAAGGTTGAGACAGTGACTATTAGGAAGTCTAACCCAGAAGATTCTGCACTGCACAGTGAGGACAGTGGTATCGGAGGAGAGAGTGAGAGTTTGACAGGATCTGAAAGGAACCATTGCCACCGTGGGAGTGCTGGATCAGGAAGTTGTGGGTCTGAAGTCAACATTCGGGGTACATATCAAAATTATTCAGCTGGTTTTGTTAGTAATACTAGAAATAGTGAAGAGGAGGAGGAGGAAGAGGATGAAGAGCGGCATGCAGAAAAATATCAAGAAGATAATGAAATTGACCAGTTTGAGAGGAAGAGATCAAACTCTTCTCCACCAGATCCCTGTCACGCTCTTCGTTACATGTATGAAAACTCCATGAAAGATCAGCAGCCTGCCTTCAAACTTTTCAATGCTGAACACTCTCTAATAACAGAGCAACAAAAGAGTCAGATGGAATTAGATGAAAAAATTAATATAATTTCTGAAATGCAAGGACTAAATGACTTTGTAAAGCTGCAGTGCAATTTGCATCAAGCTGGACATCGGCGATATTCTTTGGATGGATCAGCTGGTGAACACAAAGGCCAAGACAGAGCCAATCGGCGACCTGGTTCTTTATCTTCACCATCAAATAAACCACGAACGTGCTATTCAGTCAAAAGGCTCATAAATACATTTAGCCAAGGGGTTGTTGATGGGAGACCTGGACAGAGTCTTTTACATACTGCACCTCACATCATGAGGCCCAATAAAAGTTGTATTCTTCTAGAGTCCAGAGTAGTTAATAAAACAGGAGGTGACATCGTCTCTGGCAACAACAGCAGCAGCTCTCCAGATGGCAGGGATGACCAAGATATGGATAATCTACCACCGCCACCCCTGGAAGTTCTAATGGACAATTCCTTTCGACGCAATGAAGACCAACTACGAAATGAAAAACTACATGAAGACCCGGTTCTGACTCTTCCGTTAATCCACCAGACCACTGGGATTTCCCAGCGAAGGAAGATAGTTATGCAGAATGTAGAAGTTCTGCCGAACAAAGCAAATGTAAAAATTAGATCAATGGCTGTGTCACCTGCCCCTCCTGTTAGGCATGAGGGAGTTACTGAGGTGCAACATCAAAAGTTGAAACTGGAAACAGATCTGTCTGAACAAACTGAGAAAGCGAAAAGGATCTACAAACAAGCAAGAAAGATTATCCATTTGCGCAATGCAGGAGAATCCACCGGCATGAAAAATGTTCAAATTCCAGTCTCAGGAGATTTAACATCCCTTCAAGCTACAAGATGTGAAGGCAATGAGATACCGTCCTGCAGTCTGCCCGTCATAGCACCACCTGTTTCACGAGTACGCTTACCACCATCATGTCCTTCTGTGCACCACACCGTTCCACATCCCCCTGTACTCAGACAGCATCTCAACTCTGGATCCTCTTCTCGTCCAAATTCTCCAAGAAAAGTTACACGTACAAATGATAACAGCACAGAACAGATCATTCCTCATATGTCCTTTCATGATGCCCGCTCAGTCTTCTGTCAAAACGAGTTGAACAATTCCCAGGCCTGCCTGCCCTTTGGAAGTTCTGTTCTCCCCAGAAAATGGGGGGAAGTCTCTCGAGGCAGATCGTCCACAAGAGGAAGAGAGAATTCAACCCGTCGCACACAGTCAGAGCAGAGGCCTGGAATGACTTCCTATTCAGACCTGGAAACAGATGCCCCTTTGGTGTCCCAGCAGACCAAGGAGGATGAACCTGTTGCAGAAAAATACAGGTAAATTGAACCCTTAAGATAGGCTTATACTTAACACAGTGAACTGGGCGCACTGTGGTGGAATTAGCAAATCTTTGTCACAGGACCTCAAGGCCCTGGTGGGGGTGTAGGGATGAAAACGTTCAGAGATGTAGATTGGTGTCTGTCCAAGCAGAGCTCGCCAAGTTAATAGCAATATCTTAATATCCACTTGATAATGAGGCAGGAGACAATTAGAGGTGGAGGTACACGACAAAATATCTATTTGTTTATATCATATTTACTTACACTGAATAAAAAAACATGTACACGTTTTTTTCTCACTGTCTCAAGTTTATTGGACGGCCTTTAAACCTGACTCAGTTCCACCAGTTCTGTCAGGAGGACGGAGCAAAAACGCCACCAAATACTGTGAGAAACTTGTGGAAAGAAACTCATATGGTAATGATACAGGCTAAAAAACAGTTATCCCTGATACTGACCAAATGTATGTAAGCTTTTGAATTGAAGTACAGTTACAAAAAAGATCTCTAAAAAATGTTCTCACTAAGTTGGTAATTCTATCTAAACTAAAACAAGAAATGATTGGTCTGATTTAACTTCCAACTGTGAGAAAAAAATTGCATAGGTGTCTTTATTCAGTTTATGATAAGTTCTTTACATTATTAAGCCATTTAATTTATGCCAAGTTAATAAATAAATAGACTACTGAGTCCAATCATTTACTTTCAATATTTGAGATTACAGTGAAGAATGGGATTATTTCCATGGAATCCAACCCTTTGTAGTTTTTAGTGATCTACAATTAAAGACCAAAACTTGGCCTTGAAGTACCATCATCAACAATGCTAAGAAATAGAGAGTGAACTAAACAAAATTTCTAAAAAGAAGTGAAATATTCCTAAGGTTAAATGTGGCTTGTACTTAAAATAATTTTAAGTGTATTTATTTTCATATTCTTAGATGATGTTGAAGCAGTTTGCATGATCATGTTTTTATTTTTATTAAGTTATGAACTCATTTTATCATTTCCATGTTTTAAAAAAGAAATCAGTTCTAATTTTTATATTTGGAACAAAAGCACACTGCCTACAATGATACTACTAAGTCACCTCCAGCCTGTACAACGCTGGGCTTAATCCAGATTGGATTAGATTTGTAGCTCCACTCCACAGTTGATGTCAGTTTCTAAACCTGTTACCCTACATGACCTGATGCAGGAAAACTCACCTCCACTCTCTGTCACTCCCTGTAGTCTAGACAACTCTCTGAAGACAGAAGAAAAGTCCCAGGTGGATCCAGCTGCTGGAAACTGATTCTGGTTAAGGTTGAACAAATCCACAGAGGAAGATGGAAAAGATTTATTATAAACACCTGAAATGTTTCTGTTGTTTGTTTTAATTGTGAATTATTTTTTGTAGCGCTGATCTTAGATCAGAGAGCATATCTTATAATTCAAGTAAGTTTTTTGAGCTCATTTTTTTAAAGAACTTTCAATTATAATTTATTTTAGTTTACATACACACTTAAGCATTTTGCTAAATGCAACATCAATTCTAAACTTTTAAATATGTTCCTAGTCTATAGTTAAAAACTGAGGATGCCTAAAACATTGTATATCATTATCCATGTTTCGTGTTTTTAACCTGTTGTCATTTTTTTCTGATTTTGTGAAGCACTTTGGTTGAAATATTGGTCGTGTAAATGACTATAGAAATAAATAATTTATTGATACAAGTTTGTTAAAAGATTGTAGATGGTAGTTGGTGGTGGTCTGTCTCAGCATTTCTGAGAGTCTCTGACTGAAAATGTTCTGTGTTTGTATTTTTTGCACTGAACAGCCTAATCTTTATCAACAAATATTTTCTATTCCAGTTTTCTATGTAACTTCATTGTTGTGTCTCCAGTTCAGTTGGTTGTCCAGCTGAAGATCAAGATATATAATCTCATCCAACACCTTCAGCTCTCCTGACATGGAAATAGTGTTTGACAATTTCTTGTTTCTGTTGGAATCTACAATCATCTTTTATCTGTTCAAATTTGGTGTACCATCCACATTCAGGTTTGCTTAATAAATAATATGTATAAATATTTGTTAGTACTGTTATAACAAGCTTTAGTGTGAAGACTGTGAAACTTATTTTTTACTCATTTTATCCTACTAAATTAACTATTTTTCTGTGACTTTGGAACTGCACTGATGTAATATCCCATTTTAGCCACACGGTGGTGCCAGCGCTCCTTCTTGAGCCTCTCCTTTGATTTCCTGAGATCTTTTGAGTAAATATAGTGTTAATAGGCATGTTTATCCAAGGTCATTTTCGAGGGTGGGTAAATTACCAAAAATTGTACTCAAGTAAGAATGGTGCTACTTAACAGTATTTTTTTACACTAAAACTTACATTAGGCAATGTGATTACATGTTAAAATAGGCTAACGAACGTCCAATAACAACATTTACAATAATCTCCTGACTGTGACCCAAAGGGCTCAGCAGATAGAAAACAACAATAGAAAAACAAAACTTGTGTATAAACAGGATGTCTCACTTTAGCAAAAGCTCCAGGTGTGTATCTGTACTGGTCCGGTTTTGTTTAAACTTGATTTTCATTTAGTAAAGTAAAAGTAATGATATTACACAAGTAAAATCAAAAAGCATAGTGTAGTAAAACTAGGACTAAAAGTCCAATCTTTCCAAGACATTGCTTAAGCAAATGTAACTGAGTGAATGTAGATATAATTTTTTAAAATAAATTGCATATCTTTATTTACTAATATTTAGCACCTTGGATGGAGCAGCTTGTCAACAAATAAGCAATTTATTTTTGGGGCTCAATAAAGCTATTCTATTCTATTCTATTCTATTCTATTCTATTCTATTCTATTCTATTCTATTTCTGACAGAAATGGACCAGATTTCAGTTCACTTTAACTGTGCTATAAACAGATCCTGAATTGTTCAGTTTATGTCTGTCACTTATCAATATGATCAAAGTCCAGTCCAAGTTTTGTGTTTGTCACTGAATCTGATTTCAGTTTCAGACAAGCACATCTTAGCTGCTTGTCTTATTATTTCTAACATGTTGCATATCTTACTAACCATAGGCTGGAGTTGGGTAGAGAAATAAAGCATCTCCTTTTGGATCAAGGCTTCTCCATTTACAAACTTGTAAAGAACCAAACTGGATCCTCATCTAAGTTCCTCTGAAAGATGGGAGATGACGGGAATGATTTCCTGGGAAGGGATTCAGCTGTGAAATCTTTTGTGATTCAAACAGAACTTGTCCACAGGGACAAGAAAACTTTAATACAGTTTGTGACCAACAAACCTCTAAACAACAAAAAGATTAGAAAGAAGCCAAACTGCATTCCACAGATCTTAACCATACAATATATTCTCAGGTGATGGTATGACATCATGGACCCAGAAGGTTCCCAGTGCTGGGTCACTGGTTTCAATGGTGTGACTAAACACTGAGGCATTGTTCTTGATGTATGTCAAAGAGCTGCATCTGATTGGTTTGTATAAAGTTAAATATACTACTGGATCAGAGTTTCACATTAATTCCCTCAACTCTGTCCGCCATAAAGTGATGTTCAAACTAAAATGCGGCCATTTCAGAAACGTGCATTCATGTCATGCTGTGTTTGAATATCATGAGCACATGTGTAATTTGGGGTTTTCTTTCTAGATCCAGGAGATTTCAAAATAGGTTTTTCCTCACAGCTTTATGGCAGTTATTTCAAAATACGCTCATTTTTCAGCTTTACTGGAGTTCCATCAAAAACATCACATAAAAGTGTTAAAAAAAACAGTTAGTGTCAGATTGATGCATTGGGTCATCAGTTAATGTTCATGTTTGGTTCTTAATGTATGATGTACAACATTACTTCAACTGATGGATGAATGGATGGACATCAATGTCATTTTTATTGCACATAATGTGACAAAGCATATTTGAAATCTGAAAAAAGCAAACTGTATGCAGAAAGATCCCAGTCCAAGGCAGCAGTGACCAACTGGACTTCCTTACAGCACCAGGCGAGCCACCTGGAACTTCCTGTTGCTAACAGGCTGACATGAGAAGTAGCAGAGTGGTGGAGATCTTGTAGAACAAAGCAAGGCAACAAGAAGAAATATATAATTTACTTTATTCAACACATCGGGATCAGAATCAGCCTTGTGGGAAACTAGTGAAACTAGGAAGTTCAGAATACTTTATGATCCAGTTTATTAAAATTTAATTGTTTAGAAAGGGAATAGCTTTAATAATCAGACATGACGTCAAGGCTTAATAAGGCCACAGACAAAACGACTTCAAATAAATGGATGGTTGCCAGTTTTATTTTTAGCAGGCTGCATATTGTTTGAACCTCCTGTGTTTTCCTCAGTGACATGCTGGGCCCGTGACGTCAGAGTGACAGGGGCCACTCCTCATTCCTCAGCAGGTGGAGGTGATTTCATCCACCTGAACCGAGAAGCAGCTCAACAACCAGGAAGCTTCACAGCTTCAGTCGCTGCACTTAGACCTGTTTGTTCCGCTGCGGTCAAAGATCGCCGCTGTCTCGCAGTGGCATTATTAATGTCGCTGAGTTTTATGGCATAATGAGGGCAGCAGGAGAGCTTTAACAAAGTGTAAGGCTGTGATTGAAGGGCAGAAAGCATCATGGGGACCCAGGAGAAGACCTCTTCGCTCTGGGACAGAGTTGCTTCGTGCTGCTGTTGCTGCTGTAACGCCTGCAAGAAGGAGCAGGAGGAGAAACGTGGCCAGAAAAAAACGATCACGGTTGTGATGAACCCTATGACCAGGGGTCCCGAAGATCCCCCTGAAAACAGACCTTTACCTTCACCTCCAAAGTCGGAGCGCTACATCGCCCTGTTTGATTACTCCGCTCGTACCGAGAACGACCTGACCTTTAACACCGGGGATATCCTGGAGGTCCTGGACACCAGCGCCGGGGAGTGGTGGATCGCCAGAGCAGTGAACGGGATCTCAATCGACAAAAAGGGATACATCCCGGCCAACTACGTGGCCCCTGTGGAGAGCATTGATGCTGAACCGTGAGTGTTTCTGAACAGTAAGGAGTCATGTTTCCTCAGCGGTTACTTCTGAGTTTCTGAACTGGTGATAGGATTTAACAAACCTCCTGAGATCAGGTGTTCTACCAAATTCTCTGATGAGAATTTGGTAGAACACCAAATTCTCATCAGAGAATTTGGTCTTTGTGTTTTCAAAGACTGAAAACACACATGGTCACATATTTTAATCTGTATTTTATAATTTATCAAAACATGTGATAATTTTTTTATTTTTAATCATCTATTTTGAAAATATAAATGACACCTAGCTTCCCACTTATTACAAAATGATACGCATATCACAATATCAATGAAACTTAAGGAAGCACAGTAACCATAGAACACTATAAATACAGACTGGACACACTGATGCCACTTATCTATATATATTTTAGAAATTTGATATCTCCTACTAACTAATATTTAACACCTGGATGAGTAGCTTTTAAACCAATAAGCAATTTCCCCTTGGGAATAAATATTCTATTCTATAACAAAGAAACCAGCTGGTGTATTAAAAAAAAGAGTAAGAAGAAGCCTGGCTTGTTGTCCCTCACCCCTAAAACCTGGAACTTCAAAGCTAATATAAACTAGGTTATTATATTAGTTTATATATAAAGCAGAGAAACAGCAAAGTCACTATCTGGTTTCTATAGTTCGTGTTTCATATAATATATTGAACCTGTATAGTTCAATAAACTGTATAGATTTATTGAACTGAGATTCTAACCATGTTCTTTCATCTCCAATAAATGTTTTTATTTTATTGTAGAGTCGCAGTAACTACCAGAATATGTAACAATCTGTATTTCAGCACAGATTCTTAGGTATGTGGAAGGAGATTATATTTCCTGGAATATCAAAGCACATTGTGTTTTTCACGGCTTCCTGAAAGTTTTACTAGGTCCTGAACTAAACTTTATTTAGGAGCCCACTTCCAGTGGCTCCCATTCTGATTATTACAGATCTGGATGGACAGAGGGTTCCAGTACATGTCAAAATTTTAAAATGTATATTATTATTATTGAATATTTCAAAGACTGATAGTGACACCAATAAACTGTAGATGAATTATAGGATGTGATTAGATTATATTAACAGTTGGTGATGTTTACTAAATGAAAAACTGGAAAAAAAAAACAAAACAAAAAAAACATATGAGCAAAGTGTAAACCATTAGACTGGCTTTAGTCATTGTATTTCAGTTTGGATCATGTGCCAGAGCTAAGAGTGAGACATTTTAAATAAAAAAAATAAATAAAAATATTGCAGAGTCCATATTTAATCACCATCAGCTTTTATCACAAAGCACATACTGACAAATTAAGCAGCGTTCTCAATTCAAAAATGCTTTTTGCAGATTAATTATTTGATAAGCAGACATATGCACGCAACAACAAAAACATTTAACATGTTATTTAAAAGAACCGTAATATTGGTGCAAAGTGCTGTTCTATCCATTCAGCTTTAAGTGTTTCAGGAACCTCCAGTTGATTCCTTACATCATGTTGTTGCTTGTGGATCAGATTTAGGGTCGTACCAGAGACAAAAAGGGAATTAATTGCGTTAAAATTTCTAATGCGTTTAGAATCTATGCAATTATTTATTCAAAATTAACTTGTTAAAGTCCCGACCCACATAAATAATTTTAAAGTTATGATTGAAAATGTAGTGTTATCATGGGCTTGATGTTAAAATAAAAAGCATAATCTTACTAAGATGAGACTTTTTACTTTATGCTCATAAAAAACAATCGGTAGACTCCCAGATCAGAGCTGGCTCTAATGGTTCATTAGCTGGTTCAGTTGTGACCAGCACATCGCCTGTTGATTCATCAGGCCATGGTAAATATTAAACTCTCCTTCATTAAGTTGTTTTTAGACTTACGGCCGACTTATGGCCCAGAAGGGTCAACAAATGCAAAAGCTTCAGTGTAATAGAAAAAAAAAAGGAAAAAAGGGAAAACACAGGGCAATACTGCATCATTTATTACATTAGATGAGCCTCAGAGTCAGAGAGATGCTTGTGGCTCTGGAGCTGCTGAGCCCTGATCTAACAGGTAGATGAAGACTGTGATCCTGCCTCAGCTAAACTGAAGCTAAAAGAGAAACGCCTTAATTATTAATTCACTGTTGAAGTAAATATGTAAAGGTAAAAAATGAAAGTGGTCTAAGGAACCAGTTAGTTTCTGTGTCGGCACACATCACATAAGACACATGTGTTGGTGTTTTCTCTTTAGAGCAGGATCAGGCCTACAGTTCTGCTCTGTAGATCTGGTTTTGTTCTACAGATCAGAACAGCCCATGAGCCACTGCATAGACTTCCTTCTAACTAGTAAAATATATAGAAAAAAGGTCTGAGTTTAGATTGCTGTTTTTAAGGTATGTTATATCTTCACTGTTAACCAGAAGTCATAAAGTAATTTATTAAAATGACTCAGGAATTATGGTGACATTCACACAAAGTTAAAGACTTTGTGTGTAAACTGTTAACTAAGGAGAGGATACAGAAAGTAGGAGGTTATTTTAAAGTGGCAAAAGTTCTAAAATACTAATTCTCAATAAGTGGAAATCAGTGACTTTTATTTATGCCATATATTGAGAGTTATGGAAAATGACTGTAAATTTCATTTCTGTCATGCAACACCAGTATAAGCCTATAAAAATGTGATTGTGGGCCATATATCTCTTTTCTTTCTTGTGGGCAGATGTTTGACTCAGGTTTGCCTTGAAAAGAGTTGATCATTATCCCAGACCAGGAAGTTTTGATTCCCGGTTATCTGTTCCACCAAACGTGCAAGAACAACAGCACATTAAAACCACTTTCCTGATAGTTCCTGGACATTGCACTCTTCAGTTACACAGTTCACAACTTGGCTTGAGAACAACTGTAATTTACTGTAGATGGTGTTCAATTCAGGTTTCAGTTGAAAGGCTATTTGTGTTAAGCTGTGTGATAAGAATCTGACTGAGTGGGAAATCTGCAGTCAGAAAAATGACTGGACGCCCAACAAAGTTGAGGGTTACACTGAAGCAGGTTGGTCCAGTTTATTTGTTATCCAGCTGTGAGCTGGTTTATCCTGACGTCTTTTACAAGAATAAAATCAGTTTCTTTATTTAGTCCAGGCCTTAGCTTTGCTCAGCACCAAACCTGATTTACAGGCTGGAAAATGTTCCATGACTAAGAGACACTGAGGTATGCAACCATTGTGCTGTTTATCACTGACTCATGGAATGCTAATGAATGGTCAGCTTTTCTGCTTTTCAGTCAGGCAGAAAGTTATGCCTTACCTACTGTGGTGATGAAATCTCCAACAGCACTGAAACTCTGATCAGTTCATTTTGTTCCTGGGAGGCTTGTGCTAATTTATCAGGCTAATGTTTTGGACATGCAGCTGTCAGAGCAGCAGGCTGGCTGCTGCTGCAGCCTGGGTGTTCAGTCTCATACCACTATATGTACAGTAGCATTCACCTGAAGAGAGAAAGTTCATGTTGCAAATTTTTATTTGAAGTTGGACATTAGCCATCATCTAAATAATCTGAGATTAGTTTGCCAACCAAAACATCATAGTGACACCTTTAGTCATTACAATGGACGTTGCTCCCCTTAGCAGTGTGAACAGTTGTCAATGCCTCATGGACAATAAAGTTTAATTTAGCTCTAAAATATTTTATTCATCCCAAAGAAATGAGATGTTCTCATCATCCAAGTATTTTCAGAGTCGTTGTGGATGGTGACGATGTGGGCAGGATCCAGTCTGTAGCAGTCAGTCTGGCTACAAACTGAAGGCTGCTGTGTATATCAGTCTCATGACTCAGGACATGCTAACGGCTCATGTATTTTTTGAGATGCTAATCAGCAACTCAAAAATGCTGATTAGCATTTTTTGCTAATTAGCAAAAAATGCTGTCAGTTACTTTTGGACAGCATCACTACTGTCCAAACGTAAAAGATACAACCCTTTCAGCTGCACAGCATCCAAAGCCAGAGGGAGTAAGTGTCCAAACACAGAGGAGCTCAACCTTCAGGTCAGTCTGATGGGTGGATCTGCTCTGAACTCCTGAACAGACTTTGTTTTTACATTCATCTGAAGGCAGCATTTATCTTTTTGATTTTACATGTTTTTCTTTCACCATTTTTTCTTCCACTCAATCTTCCATCAAAATGTTCCAATACAAAATCTATGAAACACCAGCTTCTTTAGCAATCATCTGTAGCTGCTTCATCTGAAGGGCTCCAGAGTCTGTCTGCCAGCCACAAGTTTCCCCACTTAGCCTCTAACATGACCATCACTCAGGATTTATGTATTAAAAATATTTTACTGACTTAAAAGAAAATAGATTTTTTTGTCAGCTGTAAACCATAATCACCATCACAAACAACTTTATGATCTCGCTATGTGATTCATGTCACGTTGTCATGAATCTTGAGGAGTTTCAGCTTTTGAATATAAAATAATCAAGTTCAACTTTTTGTCAATGATTTCAAATTCTCTGAAACTCACCTCTATATGAAGTATTGAAGTAAATATTTTCACCAGCATGCTTGCAGCAAAGTTCTCATTCTTATTTCTCTGTGCTGTTGCCTCAGGCTTACTTAAGGGGGAAAAAAGATCCCTCCATCTATTTTCAATACTTAATCCTCATTGGCTCTCTCTGCTGTCAGGTGGCATCCAGGCTGGAGACAGACACACAGGACAGATGTATTTTTATGCCTGAAGAGAACTCGGCTACGTCTTGGTTTCTAGAAGGATCAAAGGAATGGAGTCCCTTTAAAGAGTTTATGTAGGGTTGATGTCAGGAGGCTCGGCTGCCTTTGATTTGTCGCTGAAGGCTGCAACAGATACACCAAACTTAAAATACACATTTACCCTGTTTGGGTGATTCACCAGTCCAAAGCTTTATTTTTTTAATCAGCTTCTGCTGGATTATTTCTCTGCTGCTGACTCGGTTTACAGGCAGCTGGTCAAAACCAGAAAGATAGGAATCTTGAGATTGTTTCAAGAAATATGTCATAACTGATTTTAAAAATGGTTTGATTCTTCCTGTAGCTCAAAGAGGTCTTATTCATCAAATGAGGAGGGAGGTGAATGTTGTTGCCTCTGTTGGACATTTTTGTTTTCAGCTAGGTCTGTACAGTTCATGCAGGATGTTTGATTCAGGAATCCAGATCTACTGGTTGGTGGCAAAGTAAGAATGTTGTCGCTTCATTCTGCTTAAGAAAGGGGAAGCCAGTTTATTTACAGAGCCCTGTTTATGTCCGGAGCTTTACAGGAAAACACAACAATCGAAATGAGGCACATTAAAAGGATAAAAATCTCATTAAAAAAAGGAAAATCACTGCATAAAAATATAAATATAGATGAATTAAAACACAAGATTGAAATGTGTCTGAACTTTATGGATAAGCTGCAGTAAGAAGTCATGTCTGCAGTCCTGATTGGCTAACTGTTTAAGGACTGAACAGTTGAAGGTTGTCTACTTACTGGGTTAACTGGCCTCTAATGATCTGAGGCTCTTTAGTTTATACCGGCAGCTCTGGACTGTATGTAGAACCAGGACCAGTGAGAGTCCATTAGACCATCATCACAACGTTACGCTGCAAACAGAACCAGGAAGCAGCAGAGAATGACTCACTTCAACAGCAACATAAATCAAACATAAATGATTCTAACTGAAGCTATTTATCTTCATTCTTAAGCTATCATTTAGTAAAAAAAATATTTTTCACATAAGACCTCATCAGGGCGGTGGTGACCCGCTCTGACATGGTTTATCTCAGAACAGAACAGACTTTCTGAATAAACTGTCTGAGTCTCATGGTAGAAAATGTTTTCAAAAATTATTGATCATATTTACTTTTCAAAATGTTTCAACAGATCGCTGTTGCAGTAAAGATTGAACTTCAAATCACTTTTATATGCAATAAATACTTGTATCAGATTACAGTTCAAACTATATGAAGTTACTGTTGAGCCTTAAGAGGAGCTGAAATCAGAAATGCACTACAACTTCCTGCAGCTGGTCTCAAAGTCCTGTACATCAAAGCTCTCACAATCTGCTTCATCATCAGGATTACTGCTGTCATCCCAGAAGCTGTAACCATGACAGCAGCAGCTGCTGTAGTTTATTGTATATATAAAACTCTTATCCATCATGTTTAAAGTACAGTGCAAAATATGCAAATGACAGAGGTCACAATGATTCTCGATATTGGATACAAATCTTCATCACATGAGCACCTTGTCCTTTCTGTCAGACACGCATCTCCACGTAGCTCAAACGTTTTCACTAACACAGACAATGCAGCATACTTAAAGGAAATAAAAGCATGCGGACTTTATTTTGTGATATTTTGTAGTTCTCCATAATCTGAGCCAGTTGGATCATGTTGAATAAAAGTGGCCTGAGAATGGAGCCTTCAGGAAGATGTGCTTTGTTTGCTCAGGTTTATAACTACTAAATTCCATAAATCCCTGCCGTGAAGATCTGGGTGATGGATATAAAATAGAAATAAATAGAATAATTTAAAATTAAGTTAAAATTGGAAAAAGGGTTTCCTAAAAATAACCATATCTGTAATTGCTTCTAGATGGTATTTCCCAGACACCAAGCGACTGGATGCAGAGAAGTTGCTGCAGGGTGAAGGGAACCAGGAAGGAGCATTCCTCGTTAGAAACTCTGAAAGTTTGAAAGGAGAGTACTCCCTCTCAGGTAAGGAAATAACATTTGCTTTTTTTAAGCATTTGTTTATTTTATTTATTTTTTGTCGTCACACACGCACAGAACCATAGAAGAAGAGTCCAGCATTCAGGTCTCCCATGTTATCTAACCTGGTATCTTATACTTCATACAGAACAATAACCAGAATGCTATGCTGGCTGACTCCTCTCTGATGCTGATGTAGACAATTTATTTTATTTTATTAATTTAGTTTATAACTATATAGGGCCTCATTAAGTGGTAAATATCCATTTTAAATGGTAAATGTCCTGCACTACATTCACACGCTGATGGTGGCAACCTACTGGATAACAGGTCAGCTGACAGAAGTGACCGCTGCCACCAGGCTTTCTGGACACGACAGATGTCTGAGAGTTGAACCAGCAACCCACTGGTCGCCACAATCATCACCAGTGTTGCTCACTGTATGAGCTACTGTCAGCAGTGTGACTCAAGCGGCATTCTGACAGGATACTATGGTGCGGTATTTGTGCCAAAATTAAGACTACAGCTAACCCAGTGGTGGCTACTTCCTTATTGCAGAGGGTTACATCCATTCCAAAGCTGACTACTGATCTGATTAATGATGGGCCAGCACTAGTAACTGAGTGCCAGGCTCTGGCAAATAAGTAGGAGGGTTGTACTTGTGTTTGCTTTGGAGAGGCTGGTGACTAGCATGTGTAGCTTGGCCACCAACTGGATTTCCTTCATCTTCTGCTGTCTACTAGCATGGATAGGCTAGTGTTAGGCTGGGAACTAGCAGGCTTAAAGCCCCGACGTACTTCAGCAGAAGTGCTGAAATCATCAGTCATTGATGTAAACGTGACAAAAATTGCTTCCTTTGTGTTTTATGTGGAAACATGCTCAGATATGACATCAAGTATAAACAAACTGCTGGCTGTAATATTTTACTGATGTTGGCTTCCAGTTACAGCTTCCATTCAGCAAATAATAAAAAGGTGATTCCACTTTGAGCATCTTTAGTGTGCTCTACTTTAAAAAATTCAATACTTATCAAATTTATTCTACATTAAACAAGTATTTAAAACCTAATTTGTGATTTGTGAAACTTTTATTTGATTTGTGACAGCACTAATATGACCTTTTATGCAACTTTCACTATTATATTGCATGCTAAAAATGTTTCTTAAGAGGATAAAGGTACAAGTCACCAACCTAGGCATGCTAGTTGTTAGCCTTTCCAAAGCTAACAACTTCTAGCTTTGGACTGGCTAGAAGTTATTAGCTTTGGAACAACTTCCAAAGCTAATAACCCCAGCCTACTGAATGCTGGGCTTAGCATTCCAGTTTGCTTCCCAGTGACTCCAAACTAAAAAAGTGATGAGATTATAAAATATCATTCCATTTGCAGCTTTTTGACTTGACCTTGTTCACAAAGAAAATGGCTTGGAAGAGCTTAAAACCATAAAGTGACATGCAATAAGGATACAATGCAGTGAGCAAAGTATCTCTGGAGTTGGTGACTTGTTTAATAATCAATCCTGTCAGAAACACATATATTACACATACTAAAACACAACTCTTAGAGACCGCCGGTATTTCTACCACCTGAACTTTGTTTTATTTGGATATTATATGTTAGACCAATGTGAAGTATCACATGACTGTGAAGTGGAAGGAAAATGATGACTGAGTTTTTAAGTTTTTCAAAGATAAACATCTGGAAGGTGTGCATTTTTATTATTCAGTATCCCTGAGTCAATACTTTATAGAATCGTCTTTATAGAACCACAATGAGTCTTGTCAGATTAAAAGTACTTTTTGAAAATAACATCCTTTAAGTAGTGTGGAATCTACATTTTGTTTATATAATATTCTGATTTCAAATGTAATGATTCCCTGTAAGTGAAAAATCATTATTAGTGGAGCTTTCAAACATTCATCTCTGTGTAATTAATTATTGTGTCACTTCTGGGTTTTGCGGTAATATTTAAATTTTGAGTGGGTCTGTATTATTTGCTTCTTTTTGTTTGTTTACCGTAGCAACCATGATGGAACAACATTCAAGGGAAAATATTTTGGCTTTTCCAAATCAGTTCTGACTGAGACAGTAGACTTTAACTGGACCATAAATGTGTTTTGCATCCAAATTTGAGTCACAGTTTTTGCATTTGTTTTATAACATTGAGATGTTTTTGATTTTATTTAGTATTTTATTATTGCTCCATCACAACATGTTGCGGTGTGCTTTAGGTTCCAACATGCAGTGTGACTGGTAGGGGACTGATTTAGTATAACTTGGTTTCTCTTTTGGAGGTGATTAAAATGATTTCGTATTCTTTTTTTAGTTTTGCACCAAGGGAGAGTAAAACATTACAAGCTCCAGAAACTGGATAATGGCCACTACTACGTGTCGAAGACCAAATCCTTCCCAACGCTGAAGGAGTTGGTGGAGTATTACTCCAGACAGAGTGATGGGCTGTGTGTGCTTCTTGGCGAGCCATGCAGGAAGGTAAACTACAACATGCAGGAGCGTAGACACTGATCCCTGATGTTTAGTTTGTCATTACTAACTGTCCTGTCGGTGCAGATGGAGGCTCCTCAGACCTACGGTCTGTCCTACAACACGGTGGATCAGTGGGAGATTCCTCGCAACTCTATCAAGCTGATGGACAAGCTGGGTGCTGGACAGTTTGGAGAAGTCTATAAGGGGATGTGGAATGAAACCACAGAAGTTGCTGTGAAGACCCTCAAACCTGGTGATTTTTTTCACTATTTGCATTTAAAGAGACAGCACCACAAAGTCCAAAGTAGGGACACATCCATAGGGAACATTTTGGCCAATTTCAATATCCACATTTAATATTGATGTTGTGGCCAATAACCAATATTTACTGATATTAGATGTGTTATATAGCACATTGAGACCTTACTGCTGACATTACTTCTCAACTTCTGTTAAACGCTTCCGAGTCCTGTGCTGCATCACAGTCACATGACCAAACGAAAAGACCCAAAAACCTAGAACTTGTGTCTCTCAGGTACGATGGACCCTGAAGATTTCCTGGCAGAGGCTCAGCTCATGAAGAGACTGCGGCACCCCAAGCTGATCCAGCTCTATGCTGTGTGTACCCTGGAGGAGCCCATCTACATCATTACTGAGCTGATGAAGCACGGCAGCCTGCTGGAGTACCTTCGAAGTAAGTCAGCCACACTTTCCACTTCAGTTATGAGGAGGAGTCGAAATCTACAGGGCTCCAGGTTGTTATAAACAAGTTTCTTTTAAAAATTTAAATGTTTTTATTAGGCAAATTAAGTTTTGATATGTCAAAGTGCACAAATACATGGTCAGTGGAAATGCAGGAAATGACATGACCAACAGGTGTTATAAAATCACACAGACAGCTGTTCTACATGTTTAATAGATGAGTGGTGTTGATATTAACATTCAGACTGGTTTTGAAAGTTGCTCCCTTAAAATGGATGAATCATTCTTTTAAATCCTCTTCACATTTAAGCCATTTAAATTTATGTAAGTCTATGCAAGTGGAACTGCAACACTTCCAGCTCCACAGGCACATCCGACCTGTTCTGAGGGATTACTGAGAGCAACCGGTTGTGGTGCTGTCTCTTTAAATACAAATCATCCCTCTATGTTCCACCCCGTCCAACTGTTTTTGTAGTTTGATGGCAGCTAAAGTTAGCGTCATGAACTCCACTGAATGCATTTGGATCATGTGTTTCCCTAAACAAAAAAAACGAATAAAAAAACAATCCTAAGCTGTTTCATGTTGTCATATTTTTCAGAACACGCAGTTTGGTTCTGTCCTCAGGGAGCTAACAGCTATCACACATCACTAACATAAGTAGAGTGATGCTACTTGTAGCAAAGCAATGACCAGAACGTCATAACACTGTAAAGTCATGTTGTCACTTTTGGGTTATTTGAAGCTTACGACTTTGCTGGGTCTGACATTTCCAGACAGAAGGAATTGACCCTCAACTAGACAGTCTTATTGATATTAGCAGAGGTTGTTAAGGTGTATGCATTTAAAAAGAAAAATCAAATTTAACCAGTCACTCCAAAGAGTCACAACAAGCAACACTGAAGCTGTAAGAGGATAAAAGTTCCTTTAACTTTAATCTTCCAACCTACTTTGAAACAATGTTACTGTTGAGGCATGTGGGAGATTCCTGAGATGGAAAAGCAGGTTGAAAGCCTGAGTCAACTCTTTCCAAGTTCTCTCTGTAAAATGAAGACGAACCTGAACTGTTTCATCAGGTGGCACTGAGAAATTACTCATCAGACATGTTGAAACACCTACTTAGTGCATTGAATATATTGTTATATATAAGTGGGCTGATCCATAAAACGGCTTATTGTTACTGATTTTGTTCACTTATTTCTACCTTGACAACAGAGGATAAGGGGGGCACTCTGCGTGTGCAGGACCAAATTGAAATGGCAGCCCAGATTGCGGCTGGCATGGCTTACCTGGAGCAGCAGAACTACATCCACAGAGACCTCGCTGCCAGGAACGTCCTGGTGGGAGAGAACAACATCTGCAAAGTGGCAGACTTTGGCCTGGCCAGAGTTTTTATGGTAGGTTTAAAGTCAGATTCTGTTGGAAACAGGTCTTAGTTTTCTTCCCAACTTCGCTGGTGGGGGAAAAAACAAACAAACAAAAAAAAAACACCTTCAATACTTCTGGCAAAGGAACACATCTCAAGAGCTTTTTAAATGTTTGCTTTATTTTTTCGTGTTCAATTGTAGAAAGAAAGTGAGAGTGTGTATGAGGCTAGGGACGGGGGCAAGTTTCCTGTGAAGTGGACCGCTCCAGAGGCCATCCATAACAACAAGTTCTCCATCAAATCAGACGTTTGGTCCTTTGGGATCTTGCTGTATGAGATCATGACATTTGGCCAGATGCCTTACTCAGGTAAGATCCAGACACCTTCTATAAAGACTTCAAATAATTCCCCCAGCAGTAGTGTCTTGTTAGACCAACACTTATGTTCATTTTTTTCCCCAATTTTTTTTCTGCAGCCATGACAAACATGCAGGCCGTCCAGTGGATTTCTAGAGGCAACAGGCTGCCCTGCCCCCCAAGGTGCCCGAAGCCAATGCACCTCCTCATGTTGGACTGTTGGAACGAAAAGGAACTCAACCGGCCCACGTTTGAGACGCTGCAGTGGCAACTGGAGGATTACTTTGACATGGATTTGAACTCCTATGATGACAGCTCCCACTATTAGAGTAAAAAAAACAAACAAAAAATACAGCCTTGTTTGACTTTTAACGAAGGATTAATAAAAAAACAAAAAACTAATTCATAATCACTAGATTCAGCAACGATTCTGTCAAATGCCTCCTAATCTGCTCAGTTGAAGGATTTGATTACCAAGCAGAGACGCTGCACTTTCAGGTGGCCTGTGTATCTGTTGAGCCTGATTCACACCCGACTGGGAGAGGCGCCGTTTAGAACGACTATCCATCCGTCTCGCTCATCCGGTCCTGCTGGTTTCATCCATTCCACACATTCTGTCCTCCTGCTGAACTGAAGCCGGAGGTCACCTGGGATGAGCACCTGAAAGCTTTGTTTTAAGTCTTTTCCATGATCTTTTCACATATGCTTTAACTTGAACCAAGACAATAATCTATATTTAATGTTTATGTCACCATGTTGCTTCCCTGAGAATCTGAGAATGGTTGATTATTTCCATCCCTGGCAGCAGTGTTAAAGCTGCCAGTTGTCTGCTTTCACACTGTCTCTGCATCACAATGACTCGTCAGACACTCAGGAGTTTCAGACTGGACTCTCTTCATCGTGTCGAGTCTCGCGTTGCTCTCAGACCTGTTGGAGGTTCCTGGTTCCTTCTCTGAACAAGTAGATCCTGTTTAACATCACTGTCTCATGCTTTTAATGTTCTAAACAAATTCCTGTTAATTGTATTCTAACTAAAAAGTGTTTATAGAATTTAGCTGATTTTTAACTTATCCTTATGCCTAACATAATTAAAACAAATGTTATTTATGATGACGTGGTTGGTTTGTTGTGGATTTATCTGAAGTGATCTTTGAACAATGACATTTATCAGTCGCTGCATTGAAATGTCTCATAGAATTGGACCAATAATTTGGCTAGAAATCAGAATCAATTTCCAGAAAGCTGGAGAGAAGATGACTTAGCGCACAAAGGGAACTAAAAATGAATAACTTTTTTTAACTCATTTTCTCACAAACTCTAATCTGTTCTATTTACATGGTCAAGATGTCAGTAGTTTCAGAACCACTGAATATTCTGGAGTGACCATCTGAAGAATTTTTACTTTTACTTCTTTTGCTTTCGAGACAGTTATCCTGGGTAACCATGGCAACAAGATATTGTTTTTACAAACGGTAACAGCCGATTAGGATCTTAAAAGCTCAAATACCTAAACTATTATCCCAAGCCTCAGAGGAGTTTAATAGGAAACTTCCTGGATGCAGAGAGAGGCAGAAGTTCAAACCGCCTCATTCATCCATCATAACGGATGGATGGATCACATCTGACTCCAACATCTTTCTAACTGGCCAGACATATTTAAAGATCATCAGAGCTGCTAACAGCTCATGATGTCATTCAGGACATGTTGCTGTGGAATATCATTTCTGCTGCTGGGAAACTGAGCTGTTACCATGACGCACAAGGCTGTAGTACAGCAACAATTTTCGATCAAAGGCTTCTTCAGATTGGTTGTATTGCTGACTACTAGAAATCTTTGAAGATGAATATGACTTATGACTACATTTTTAAGGTGAACTGAAGAATGAACCTGACCTATTTTTATTTGGTGTAAATTGGCTAATGTTTGATTTGCCCATGATGCTGGGTATTTGAGGTGTTTGAGGTGTTGCCTTCATCCACAGAGGTTCCACCTGTCTATTCACATGTTGAGTCAAATTATCAGAAGCCATGACCTCATCATCTGGGCTTTCCCACATTCCTTTGTCATTAGTGTATGTAAACTTTTGATCTGGAACAAAGTTGTAATATCTGATTTCTTATTTTAGTATTTAGCAAATAAAAATAATTGTCATCTGAAGCAGTTCAGTCTGACTTCATATCCATGAAACATTTTGAATGCAGTCTATGTAAATATCTGGTTTACATTGTTGGACTCGTCTGTGACTAATGAGTCGTCATAAGGGAGTTATTTATTCCATTTTCAACATAATATTTCTAAATGCAGAATAAAAGGATCAACTGGAGATAATGGTCAACCTGTATTGATGTAATTTCCCCATGTGGCCACACAGTGGTGCTATAACACTCCGCCATTCACGCTTGCCAATAAAAGGCATTACTGTATTGCTAAAGCAACAAAACCTCCAATATTTAAAATGTGTTAATCTCAAAGCCATATTTAACAGGGAGCAGAGATCTGGATCAACCCTAAATATCTGCACATCTTTAAATCTGAAACAGCATCAAGGACCAGAGTGTTTTATTTAGAACTGTTCAAATTCCCACAAAGCAACGTCAGTGCCAACATATTAAAACAGCACTCTATTTGGGAGAAAGCAAGCTGAGATGGAACATTGATGAGAGAAAACACTTTATCCAGAATGGGAAGTTTACAAGTTTAGCTTTTCCACAGTCAGAGCTGACCTAAGACCTCAGAGAGAGTTTAGAAAATATGTTACTTATAACCACAGCCTTTAAAGCTTCTAACTGAAATCAATTCTACTGAATGTGAGGCACACAGAATAACATTGCATGCAGACAGTAAATGTTTAAAACAATTTAAAGTTTTCTTGTTTTGTTGTACTAAAATCTGTAGACATGCCAGAGCTGAGTCTGTATTATAACTAGTGGTGGTTATCTATAATCTCAGGGTAACCACGTTTTAATTAAACTATTTGACAAAATATGCAACATTTTTAATTCAGAAACCATTTATTGCTGCTAATTATACAATTATTGAATAAATAAACATATGAACTCAACAACAAAGATATTTATTGGTGCAAAGTGTTATTCCAGCCATTCAGTTTTCATCTTTCAGCCTTGAACAATCATGGAACTTCTTTTCATTAAAGTGGACAGTGGACTCTGACGTCAGCATTGGGGACGTCTGCAACATGTTTACCTTTGAGATGCGAATTTAGCCTGGAATAGCTTCACCAGTAGGCCAACTCTGCTTAGCAAAATGTTGAACACAACATTTACCTTTTCCAGTGTCTCATCAGATTGGTTTTTGAAGCAGAAATGAACTCCCCAGTGGACCAAGAGAAGCAGCTTTAGCATACATCGCTTTGTTTGCAGATATAGCTTATCTCAGATACGCATGAAGCAGAAACACCTTACAAAGATCAGTGGCTCTGAATTCCACCTGGATGACTGAACGTCTGAGTCAGGACATCTTCCCTGACCTAGAGAAGGCAAGTTTACGCCTCCATACCGTAGTCTCAGATTTGGAGCTGGTGTCTTTCATCCTGGAGGCTTCAGCTGTGAACTGCTCCAGCAAAACCTGGAGATCACAATCTAACTACGTCACCTGAAAAAAGCAGAGACCTGATCCTCAGGCCTCCAAGACTGAACTTCCAGGCACAGACAAGCTATGGAGGGAATCAGTCTATGGAGGTTATGAACAGAACCTTCTCCAAGTACACAAAAAACGTGAAAATTGTCTCGGACAGACGATAAGCAACTCACTGTAGGTAGATCAGTAGATGGTATTAAATCTGTTCCAAACAAAGTTAGAATAAACTGTGACAGCCTGTTAATAATGCTGCTGTAAATATTACTAGGTTTCCTAAGGTTTGGTCTTCAGAGTAGCAGAAGGACTGCCACAGCTAGGTGGACGTGTTGCCATACTTATTACCTTGATAATCAGTATGTTAAAAAAGGAGAAAATCCAACATGATTCTGGATTAGTATTTACTCAAAACCCTGAACATTCTCAAGTTTTATACTATTTCACAATTAAAGTATCTGTGGAATGATAATTTGGACAATAAATAAGCAGGAGTGCAAACTAATCCAACATCCTTTTAGTGTTTCAGAAACATACGAGGCAGCAGATTCACCCGTCTCCTTCCATTAGAAAGCTCCTTTTTTCCTCATTTACTGTAATGCCTCGCCATAAAAAGAGTGTTTTCTAATGGAACCAGCGGATTTGCTTGTGCTTAGAAATTACCTGCACACTATGGCTGATTGCCCCTCAAAAGCAAAACAAGTGGATGAGACAGCTTCAGTGAGAATTATTTAAATGATTTGCTCTTGTCTGCAGAAAAGAAGTGGGGGGTTGAGCTCGATGCTAAATCCTTTGGCAGCCGACATATTTCTGAGCTCTCAGTTAATTCCCTCATTCATGGAGACATGTCAACATTCTGGATATGGTCTGACTCATCTTCTTTATGTCTGCAGGCATTAATAATGATTGACTCAGAATAAAACTTGAAAAGGTTGTTTGGAATATCCATTGATTCAAAGCGTCTGATTTACATGTGGCTCTCTGGCATTATGAACACATTCATGTGAAAAAAAAAAAATCTGTAAACTCTATTCAGTTTTTTCACAAGTAGCATTCACATAGACCTATCCTTTTTTTATTTATTTCTGGACAAAAGGATGATTTAGTTATAGTTAGAATATCAAACTTGCTCCACTTATTAAACCAAACATAAACAAAAATGATTTTTCCAGCTGTGGAAAATGTTAGGACATCCTACTCTCTAACAGATAGTCTTGTCTCCACTGCTGGGTTGTAGACACGTGATCTGGATGACATGCAAAATTCAGATGGGGGTCAGGAAGTGGATTTCTATGGAGAGCAAAATGGATCTCAGCGAGTAGTAAGCTAATGCCTAAAAATGGGTTGGAACAGATGAGGTATCTCAAAAAAATATGTGTATATTTAGGATATGATCCATATTGTCTGGGTAAAATAATCCTGAGGATTTACCCAGTGTTGAGGGGATTAACATAACTAACTATCTGGTGCTGCAGACAATGAGCCAGATGAAAGCTTTCAAAATCCTGGAAGCTCACAATTATTTTGTCAACCATTTAGGTTCAAATGAAGCATTAAATGGCTGTCAATTTATTTCTGCAGTAGTGAGTTGTGCTATTTTAAGTAACTGTAATTAGTCTATGATAACAATGCTATCGCTACGCAAACAAAAAGCTAATCCATGTTATTTCTATGTGCTTGGATCTACTTGTAAATAATTTATTATTTCTGTAAGTCCAAATTCATGATGGAGTTGTATGTTAATGTTGAGTCATACTG